AGCAGCGCGTGCAGGAGAGGTCAGGCCTAGGACAGTGCTTCTCAATATTTGTCAAATGAATAATTGATTGAAACAAGCCCCTCTCCTCCGACACACAGACGCACGCTACCCAAATACAGAACTCCATCCTGGCTTCTCAGAATAGCTTCTTCCTTTTACTGCAGAGCGCTTTTTTCTATAATTACAAAGTAATACAAGCTTCTTACTGAACATTTGGGAAACACTAACAAAGCTTAATAAGGAAAAGATTCCTTATAATCCCATCACTGGCAGAAAACCACTGGTCCCATTTTATGTCATTCCTTCCTGTTTTTCCCATCATATTAGCTCTGTATTTCCAATAAATAGGTCGATGGCTGGCTCATGGAAGGCATCGTACATGATAACGAAGCACAAAATACACTTCTGTACTTCAAGCTGAAGCATAAATAGCTCCCAAACCTTTAAAATATTATTCCAATGGCTATATAATCAGCTATTGAGATGATGTATCATGGTTGACTTTAACATTATCCCATTGGTGGTGTGGATGAAAGGGGCCACATGCTGACCTGACAAGCTCAGGGAAGGCCTGCATGGCAGTCTTGCAAACTCAGAGACCTAAAGTAACCACAAAGGATGGTCTGAAATTAAACTTTAACTAAAAGCAGTTATGGTGGGCAGTTATGTCCTAGGCCAGTATCTTCACTGACAAGATCAACTTTGATCCTTACTGAACCCATTTGCCTTTTTGCCTCTATGATAACATACCCTTGAAATGTCTGGGTAACTTGTAACTTCCCTTTTTCTGGAGCCCCTGGGGCACAACCAAATGTGCTGGGCGCCAGGACAGATACTACAAATTCCTTCATTATCATGTTAATTGATCCTGCACCCACCTAAGTATGTGTCCATCATTTTACTTTTTATCCAATCCCAGGGGTTTCCCTGCTTTGCTTTATCCCTCCTCCTTAATCTATCACCAATGAATTTCATGTAACCCACCTACATCCCTCCTTTGATTCGTATAAATACGAATGTAACCCCGCCATTCTCCGGAGCATTATCTCAATTCATTGAGGTTCTGCTTCCCGGCATATGTCGACAGTTTGGCTCAAATAAACTCACAAAAAATTCTTTACAGGTTTCAATGGTTTTTTTACGTTAACAGTGGGAAGTTTCTAAATCGCACCATTGTAATTGCTGTTGCAATGAACATCTTTGTGATAGGAGCTCTTTCGGCATTTCCTGTGATTTCCTTAAAGTATATCCACCGAGCCCTGGCTGGTGTCACTAAGTGGTTAGAGCATCAGCCCGTGCACTGGAGGGTCTCGGGTTCGATTCCCAGTCAAGGGTACATACTTGGGTTGCAAGTTCAATCCCCAGCTCTAGTCGGGGGGAGTGTGGGAGGCAACCAATTGATGTGTCTCTCTCAAAATCAATGGTTCTCTCTCTCTGCTCTGTGGGCTCAGCCTTCCCCTCCACTCTCTCTAAAAATCAATGGAAAAAATATTTTCAGATGAGAATTAACAACTACAAATACATCCACCGAAGGAGACTTCTGGGTCAAAGGACAGGAACCTAAGGCCCTGATGTCACCACCTGCTTGCTTTCCAGTGAGGCGCACCTTCTGATTTGCACACCCACCTGCAGCAGAAGGTACCTGCTGTCATCAACAGATACCTCCCTGGCATTGGCATTGGTCTGTTGAATTTCTCTGCCTCTGGCTTCTCCAGATTCATCTTTCTAGAGCTGGCACTCCAGGGGCATCCCATCATCAAATTCCAAGCCTGGCAAGCAAGCCCCTCCGTACAGCTGCCGTGTCCCCAGGCCCGTGTCCCGCCGACCCTCCTGTTCACCCTGCACCAGCCGGGTCACTGTTTCCGGATCTGCACTCACGGCACAGCCTGCACACCTTTACCTGTTCTTCCTACCACTTCCCTCTTTCAGACTCACTGAGGCCTGCGGGGGGGCTGGGAACCAACCCTGGGGCCATCTCTTCCATGAGGTCTCAACTCTTTCCCGGAAACCTCAATCTTCAGGACCTCTGTCCTCACAGGTCAGCTCTGGGTCCCAAGGGCCAGCACAGGGTCAGGTTCAGCGAAGGCCCCTTCCCTTCCCTCTCAAATGCCCTCAAACTCCCCCATCTGCCTTCCCTCGCCCTCCCCATCTGCCTTGGGAACCTCAGAAACAGACCTAAGCCCAAACCCCCAGGAGCAGTAAAGCTCCCTATATCCACAGTGAGGATGGAATCTGAGAAGTGGAGGCCCCCACACCACGCCCCTCTGAGAGCTCAGCGAGTCAGCAGCTCTGTCTGAGCCCCCAGGCTCTGCAGGCAGAAGGAGCCCCTTGGCACCAGGAGTCCTAGCCTTCCTCCGCTGCCCTGTGTGTTTGGGGCCTTGAATATTCACACCTGTCGAGTGGAAGGTTGCCCTCTACCATGCTGAACCCCCCCCATGCCCCCCATGCCTTTTCTGCTTCCCAGGCGGGGTGTCCTGGGCCTGGGGGATGGCACCGCAGTGGCTGGACTGGGGTCTGGGACATGGATAAGCAATGTAGAGGCCTCACCTCCAGCCTGAACCCAAGCTCAGATCTAGAGTCCAGATCCTGGGGCCTGATAAGGCCGTCTCTTCTGAACTTGACTGTGAGTTCCCCTAGAAATGTATCTGCAGCTTCCCCAAGGACCCCAGGTCTCCCAGGAAGGGGTCAGAAGGGAGTGGTTGAGGTGTTGGTGTGCGGGATTCACATGGGTATGTACCGGGTGGAGGAAGAATGTTAGAGGGGAGGTGAGAGCCAGTCCAGGAGCGTGGGCGCAGTCGTGTAAGCAGGAGGGGCTGTCCTTGGGCTTCCCTGTGCCCCGTGGCCCCCACCGTTAGGTCACTGTGACCCCACGGCTGCGTAGAAGAGGCCCCCTTCACAGACAAGAAAACTGAGGCTCAGAAAGATAAAGTCACTCACCCAATGGTTAGCTCTAGTCCCTTGACACCCCAATTCTGCTGAGGGCTCTTCCTGTGACCTCACCTGTGCCCCTGTTTGATGGGGGTCGGGAGCTTTCTCCAGCCAGGGCTGCTGGGATGGCCCGGGCAACTCCCTGAAGTAGGGAGTCATCGAGGCAGACAGGCTGCTACAAGCCAGGGCTGAGCAGCGGGGGTCAGGGGTTTGGAAAAGGGGGGTGTGCACAGGGCACTGGTGAGAAGTGTCCTGAGGCCTTGACGGGCCCATGTTTCCTCAGGCTTAGTCTCTCCTCCTGTAAAGCCTGAGCCGGCATCCGAGTGGCAGGGGCTGGTGAGGCACCAACCTGGGCACAAAGGAGCTTGTGTTGACAAGGTGAGTGTGGAGCCAGCACAGTGGAAACTGACCTCCCTTCCCAGGCCAGCCCCAGTCCAGCCCCAGCCCC